ACTGATACAGGTTGAGCATCCCTAATCTGAAAATGTGAAATCCAAAATGATCCAAAATCTGAAATTTTTTGAGTGCCCACATGATGCTCAAAGGTCATGCTCAAGGAAGTCCTCATTGGAACATGTGGATTTCGGACTAGGGAGGCTCAACTGGTATAACCGCAAATATTTTAAAATCCAAAAAATCCAAAATCCAATACACTTCTGGTGGCAAGCATAACAATACTCAACCCGTATATAGTATAACATGGAAAAACCTTTAAAAGATTATCCTAAGAGAAAGAAGTCAGCCACAAATGACAATATGTTGGATTCCATTTATATAAAATATCTAGAACAGGCCAGGTGCGGTGGCTCACACCTGCAATCCCAGTCCTTCGGGAGGCCAAGGCAGGTGGATCACGAGGTTAGGAGTATGAGACTAGCCTGGCCAATATGGTGAAACCCCACTGCTACTAAAAAATACAAAAATTAGGCTGGGCACAGTGGCTCACACCTGTAATCCCAGCACTTTGGGAGGCCCAGGCAGGCAAATCACCTGAGGTCAGCAGTTCAAGACTAGCCTGGCCGACATGGTGAAACCCCATCTCTACTAAAAATAAAAATTAGCTGGGTGTGGTGGCTTGTGCCTGTAGTCCCAGCTACTCGGGTGGCTGAGGCAGGAGAATCACTTGAGCCCAGGAGGCAGAGGTTGCAGTGAGCCGAGATTGCAGCACTGCACTCCAGCCTAGGCAACAGAGTGAGACTCTGTCTCAAAAAAACCAAACCAAACCAAAACAAAAATTAGCTGGGCATGGTGGTGTCCACCTATAGTCCCAGCTACTAGGGAGGCTGAGGCAGAAGAATCATTTGAACCTGAGAGGCAGAGGCTGCAGTCAGCTGAGATCATGCCACTGCACTCCAGCCTGGGTGACAGAGTGAGACTGTCTAATTAGACCTTGGGAGTTTAGGTGAAAATGGGGAGTGACTGCCAATGGGTACAGGATTTCTTTTTTTTCTTCTTCTTTTTTTTTTTGAGACGGAGTTTCGCTCTTGTTACCCAGGCTGGAATGCAATAGCGTGATCTCGGCTCACCGCAACCTCCGCCTCCTGGGTTCAAGCAATTCTCCTGCCTCAGCCTCCCTAGTAGCTGGGACTACAGGCGTGTGCCACCATGCCCAGCTAATTTTTGTATTTTTAGTAGAGACGGGGTTTCACCATGTTGACCAGGATGGTCTCAATCTCTTGACCTCGTGATCCACCCGCCTCGGCCTCCCAAAGTGCTGGGATTACAGGCGTGAGCCACTGCGCCCGGCCGGGTACAGGATTTCTTTATTGGGATGATAAAAATGTCCTAAAATTGATCATAGTGATGGTTGCACAACTTGGAATATACTAAAAATCACTGAATTTAATTGTACAGTATGAGTGTTACATCTCAATAAAACTGTTTAAAAAATGCAAAGAAAAGATAACCAATACAGACCTAAAACTCTACATAAAACAAATTCATATTTATTTTATTAAATTTGGTTTTTCTGGAGACAAGGTTTTACTCTGTCACCCAGGATGGAGTACAGTGGCATGATCATAGCTCACTATAACTTCAAACTCCTGGGCTCAAGCGATCCTCTCCACTTAGCCTTCTGAGTAGCTAGGACTGTAAGTCCATGTCACCACACCCAGGTTTCTTTTTCCCCCTCAAGTAGAGACAGGGTCTAGCTATGTTGCCCAGGCTAGTCTCAAACCCTTGGACTCAAGTAGTCCTCCTACCTCAACCTCCTAAGTAGCTGGGATTACTGGCATGAGCCAGTGCTCCCAACCTATATTTCTTTTACACTCAGGGAAAAACAACATATTTACTTTTTTGTTGTTGTTGTTGAGATGCAGTCTTGCTCTGTCACCCAGGCTAGAGTGCAGTGGCACTATCTCAGCTCACTGCAACCTCAGTCTCCTGGGTTCAAGTGATTCTCTTGCCTTAGCCTCCTGAGTAGCCAGGATTACAGGGGTGTGCCACCTCGCCCGCCTCATCTCTGTAGTTTTAGTAGAGATAGGATTTTACCATGTTGGCCAGGCTAGTCTCAATCTCCTGACCTCAAGTGACCCGCCCACCTTAGCCTCCCAAAGTGCTAGGATTACAAGCATGAGCCACCACATCTAGCACATTTACTTTGAAAACCATAATCACTCATTGGAACACACTATAACCATATGTCGTATGGAATGTAAACAGAGTCAAGAAGCGTTGGAAAGTCATACTTACAGAATCAATTCCAACAAGAAAAGAGAAGACTGAGAAGAGAGGGCCACTGCAATATCCTAAACTTACAAATATCTAAGAGTCAGCTTAGATGCTTTTCTTTATGAGGCATACCAGCTAGAATGGATGGGATCACAAAAAGTTCTTCCTCCTCATAACAGGAATAAGAAAAGCGGTGTGTAAATGAAATGTGAAAAGGATGACACGAGTGCTTGTTAGGTGATTTTAAATGGAAGCGATCCTAACAAATTATCAACCGCAGAGGTCTAAAGCCTGCAATCACTGTTTACTTGTTTCTCTTCCCTAAAATTTATTTTCAACCTAAGAGAAAACTTCATTGATTTAATTCGTGACGAAAAGCTGAAGCCTAAGCTGAAAAAGTAGTTTTAAGTGTTTGCTGTTTTAACTTAATTAGACAGCAAAGCCCTCACAAAGGAAGGCAAGATTAAGGTTATATAGCTGAAGGAATTTTATATTTTAATATTCCTTTTCGAGGTCAGAGGATCCCTAGAGCCTAGGAGGTGGAGGTCAGGGCTGAAGTGAGCTATGATTATGTCACTGCACTTTAGCCTGGAAAATAGTGCAAGACCCTATCCCTTACCACCGCCCTCCCCCCAAAATTGTGAGTTTGCATCTTCTTTATTTGAAAGAATTTTGTTGGCCTTCAGACTAAAACTTAAAAAAACAGAACTGTTCAGAAAGGCATTTAAAAGTAAATAGGGTAAAAGGTAGCTCCGAGTGTGGTGTTCACAAACTCAAATTAAGTCCAAATTGATAATTTTTTGTTGCATTTCCCTGGAAAATTCTGTTTTGAGAATTTCACTGAACAAGAACTAGGAGCACTGGCCTCCAGCACTAGTTTTATAACCAGTTTCCTCAGGAGCCTCTACCAACTGGAGAACCTCTAATTACTTGATAGTTGACACTTTTAGAACGGGATAACGGAATCTGTACGCTGTATCACTGGGCTGAGACACAAAATTCAGTGAGAGAAAAAAACTATGACAGTACTTTGAGGTAAATAACAGATTAGAATATCAATTAGAAGAGGCATGGAGAACAAACAGCTGTAATTATTTCACAGTTTACACTACTTTTTCTTTTTTCAAATCTTGGATAAATGAAAGACAGAAATTCCTTAGGTTGTGCAATATTAAGTAGGAAGCAAATGAAAACAGACATAGACTAAACAAGTAAGTAGGTTTTAAAAAACACGCCCAAGGCTGGGCACAGTGGGTCACGCCTGGGATCCCAGCACTTTGGGAGGCCCAGGCAGGCGGATCACCAGAGGTTGGCAGTTTAAGACCAGCCTGACCAACATGGAGAAACCCCATCTCTACTAAAAATAGAAAATTAGCCGGGCATGGTGGCGTATGCCTGTAATCCCAGCTGCTTGAGAGGCAGAGGCAGGAGAATCGCCTGAACCCGGGAGGCAGAGGTTGCGGTGAACAGAGATTGAGCCACTGAGCAGCCATTGAACACTCCTGCCCGGGTGGCAGAGAAAGACTGAGTCTCAAACAACAACAACAACAACAACCACCACAACCACAACCACCACCACCAAACCTACACCCAAACAAGCAAAGATTCAGCATTCAACACTATTTCGTTAAACTTTTCACTCCTACTCCTGACATTTCTTTCTACCCAGACTTAATGTCCTCACCAATTCACACAAAATAACTACTCACTGATCAACAGCTCCACGGTGGCCCTAATCCCAAATTTTGTTCGTAGCATTCAGATTGCTGGCTTTTATTCACGGGTCATTCCCTTCCTAGCAGCCTTTTTAGTTCGAGGTCTTAGAGGTGGGGCCCAAGCTGTTTTGGTCCATTCATAATCATTCTGGACAGTCTCTTCTAATGGGTCTTCCCTGTCCTTATTGGGGAAAGAGGCCGTCGAGTTTATTATTTGACAACTCTGCTATTTACACTGGCATATTCATATTATAGTTTTCATGCAATACTCTGAATGGTTTTACGTTTGGAGCATAACTGGTCTACTACACTGTGGCCAATTCTCGAGTTTAGCTTACACGGTATTTGTTGAAAGATGCTCTATCAACGTTATATAACATTTGTTCTCCATCCAATTACCCTTAACCCCTAGAAAAAATATTTAAAAAATTTCCCAGCCTCCACGACTACTTCCTCATACTCAGTAAACTTTTCACACATGCATCAACATTGTCAATTAACCAAACCGGTGGAAAAAAAAAAAAAAAAGCACTGAGAGGGGTAATGAAGGGTAGTGTTGTTTGCCTGCCTGGTGTCTGAGGCAGTCCCAAAAACAAAGTAGGGGCTGGGTTAGGGTGGCATGTTTAGGCGGAGGAGCACACTGCTCTGCTTATCTCAGGAAAAGCAATCACCTAGATAAAGTGTGTGTGTGTGGGGGTTATACCAAAAACACAAAAAACATCTCTTCTCTTCCCAGAGCTGATATAAAGGGCAAAGGCCCATGTGTTGGAGACTTAATGGGAGGCTGGGGAAAAGGAGGTATGATGGAAGAGCCGTGGGTTCTCCTGGGCGAAAAGGGAAAGTAAAAGTGGTTAGTGCACAGAGCACCTCTGGGGGCTGCTGAAAATGGAAAGAGGAGGGGCAGGATCGGTGGCCTCCCCGGGCTGTTACCCCACAAGGCGAGGTCCGGCACAGCTGTTACCCCAAATCTGGGCCGCGCTGCTCCAGGGACGTCCAGGAGTCGGTTCCTCCCCACGGGCGCGGCCTGCGAGGGCCGGATGTACCCGCCCGGGTCCGGCACTCACCCCCGCAGTCTCCTCGGCCGAACATTCCAGCAAACTCCGGTCGATGGCCTGCACCTCTGGCTCCAGCTCCGACGCCATCTTCTCTCCTCCTCCTTCCCAGCGCTACCGCCGCCCGGAGAGCTGCAGCCTCACCTCGGCCCCGGCGGCCTCGACAGCCACCGCCACTCACTGCCCCAGGCAGTCAGTCCAGGAGCCGTCTAAGTGGCTGCAGGTGGGGCAGGAGAGGGAGAGAAGGGTGACGTGAACCGGAAAGGAGGGACAGCGGCCTCCTGTGCTCCCTCCCAGGTGGAGCGCCCAAGAGTCAAATCACTGGCTTGTCCCTGACCCAGGGAAGGACACAGAAAACCCCAGGCCTGACACTCTCGCTGGCTGACCACTACCGCGTCCTGCACCGGGAAAGGGGCAATAACACCCAGGAGGCAAAGCGGAGCGTTCTGGGTACTGTAGTCTTCCCCAGCAAGACAGGGAAAAAGGTGGCGCCCTAAATACGATGCCCCTCGAACGCATTATGGGAGTTGTAGTTCATTCCCAGAGGACGCTGGATTAAATGACAGATAAGCGGGCGGGGCTTTTCTGCCCAACGAGAATCATGGGAAGAGAGTCGTGGAAAGTAGCGCCCCCTGGAAAAAAAGGCGAAGAGCAAGATACTTAGGGGAATTGTAGTTTTTATTTCCTGAATTGCGGGTTTGTTCCTTTTTGTATCTCCAGCTTCAAGAACACTGCCTGGCACGTGGTAGACCCTCAAGGACTTGCCGGTGTGGCTTAGGGTACTCAAAGGAATGAATGAATTACCTTGTATTCCTGTGGTTCTATGTTCTGTCATCCATCCAATCCTCATCTTTTATACGAGTAATGGAGGTGAACATTACCCAGGTTTTTGAAGGTTTAAAACATGTTTTTTTAAGACTTTTCACACGCCTGTAATCCTAGCTCTTTGGGAGGCCAAGGCGGGCGGATCACAAGGTAAGGAGATCGAGACCATCCTGGCTAACACGGTGAAACCCCGTGTCTACTAAAAATACAAAAAAAAAAAAAAAAAAAAAAAAAAAAAATTTACCGGGGCGTGGTGGCACACTCCTGTAGTCCCAGCTACTCAGGAGGCTGAGGCAGGAGAATCGCTTGAAACCGGGAGGCAGAGGTTACAGTAAGCCGAGATCATGCCACTGCACTCCAGGCTGAACCACAGAGTGAGAATTTGTCTTAAAAAAAAAAAAAAAAAAGTCAAACACTTTAGTGATGACCACTTATAAACTTTATCACAAATCTTGCTGCAAAAGAAAGAGAGTCTATTAGGCCAATTCAAAGATTTACTTTGGATAGAGACATTTGATTTCTATAGATAGACCAAGCTTGGTGGCTCATGCCTATAATCCCAGCTCTTTGGGAGACCCAGGAGTTTGAGTTCAGTCTGGACAACATAGTGAGACCGTCGTATCTGATAAAAGTCAAAAAAGTAGCCGGGCATCGTGGTGCGCCTTTAGTCCCAGCTACTCGGGAAGCTACGATGGGAGGATTGCTTGAGCCCAGGCAGTTGAGGCCACGGTGAGCTGTGATAGGCCTGCTGCACTCTAGCCTGGGTTACACAGGTGATACCCCGTATCAAAAAAGAAAAAAAAAAAAAGAAAGGAAATAGGTAAACATTGATAGACTAGCTATCAAAGAAAACTATGTTTAGTTAAAGGTGATTAGACTCTTGACTGACAGTGGGTGACTGGGCTTCTTAGAACAAGTCTTCTACCTCTTTGGAGTTTGTCAGAAAATGGCTTACACCTTTTTTGAAGTAGATTGTAAATTACATGTGAGGGGGAAGTTCAAAGCCAGGTTTAGGACATGTTTATGTTGTTTTGGGATTAAAAAAAAAATCAATACTATGATATTAACCAGTTTTTTAAAAAAGGAAATAAATTATTTGTACCCCTGTAACCTCACAATCCAATTATGCCTTATTATAACTTTTTAAAATATAGGTAATATGTGTATAACATCAGAAATTCAAACTCAAAAAGAATGTTTCAAAAAAGGAAAATTGAAAACTTCTTAGTCCTCTTACCCCAAGTTCCTCTCCCCAAAGAAAATAATTTTTAACATTTTCTCATGATTCTGTCCAGAAAAATGTATGCACATATCTACACAGATATCTATAATGAGATAACTTGAAATATTATTCTACATATTTTTTTCTTTTCACCCAAATTCCTTGCACTGATCCACTCAGGACAGAGTCGACCTGAGGAAAACTGGTATTGTCCCAGCCTGGAAGCAAAAACAACGTCTCTTGAGGGGTCCTAACATAGAATTTAAGTCATTAATATAGGCTGTAAATGCAATTTTGGTTCTTAGCATTATTTGCTTCCTAACATTATTTGTTTCATGCCAAGCATGGTGGCTCACACCTGTAACCCCAAAACTTTGAGAGGCCAAGTTGGGAGGATAACTTGAGGCCAGGAGTTTGAGAACAGCCTGGGCAACATAGCAAGACCCTATCTCTACGAAATAGTTTAAAAATTAGCCGAGCATGGTGGCCCATGCCTGTAGTCCTAGCTACTTTGGGAGGCTGAGGGAGGAAGGATCACTTAAGCCTAGGAGTTCAAGGCCGCAGGCTGTAGTCAGCTATGATTGTATCACTGTACTCTAGCCTGGGTGACAGAATGAGAAACTGAATCTAAAAAAAAAAAAAAAAAGGATTGTTTCCTTTGTGCATCATAATTACGAATCTGGAGATCATCTTCACTTAGCGTTAGCAGTGGGAATCTCCATGTATTAATACGTTCAAAGTATTTTTTTCTGCAAGGCCAGACATTCTAGAAAACATCATATACTCAGGACCAGATTACTCCAGGAGTATCCTATATCGAGGACCAATTGTAAGTTAGTTTCTAGGCTTAAGGATTCCCTAATAGTATTAACTCAGTTGTGTGCCATTTCTCTGTCTATAATTTTTGTTTGTTTGTTTTGAGACGGAGTCTCACTTTGTTGCCTTGGTTGGAGTGCACTGGTGTGATCCTAGCTCACTGCAACCTCTGCCTCCTGGGTTCAAGCGATACTCCTGCCCCTCAGCTTCCCAGTAGCTGGGATTAGATGCGTTGGTGGTATACTGGTGGGCATAGCTACCTTTCAAGTAGCTGGGATTACAGACATGTGCCATCACACCTGGCTAATTTTTGTATTTTTAGTAGAGATGGGGTTTCACCATGTTGGTCAGGCTGGTCTTGAACTCCTGACCTCAGGTGATCCACCTGTCTCAGCCTCCCAAAGCGCTGGAATTATAGGTGTGAGCCACCGCAGTAGCCTGTCTATAAATTTTTAAGGGGAATTCTTTTTCCTACTCAGAGTCAAGGTAAAAAGCTTCTTTGTCATTTTTCTGTGCCAGTTTTTTTTTTTTCCCCCTAGTCTACCCTTTCACTGATACTACATGCCTTTGAAAGCCCTGGCTTTATGTAGAGGATCTCAATTTCAATTCTAATGTTTCTTTGACCCAGAGTCTGGTTTCCTGTTCCCATGGGGGCATTAAAAACGAAGCCCCAACTTCCAGTTAAATGTGGCAGATTGAATACCTCATGACGGCAAAGGGAGAAAAAAAAAAAAAAAAAAAAAAGAACAGAAGAGAGGAAGACAGCACCAAAATCTGGTGGAAAGCAAGTGATTGAGAAGGAACTAATAGAATGCTGAAACCGAGGCTAGCAGTAGAGGCACGAAGCGTCAAGCTAATTAATATGCCGAATCCTGAAAGACTTAAACAGTTGAGGCACCATGTAACTCTGAAAGTGGGTAAAGATAATGCTAAAAGCAAGCTTATTGTTAGAAAGTCTGCGTAGCAAGAAGTTAGATTGCCTCATTTCCTTCTCTGGAAGAAGACTGGAGCTTTACCCTCTAGACTGGCTACACCTGAAGGCCTTTTGATGGGGAGATATCAGACCCAGCTGAGGGTTCACTGCATTCAAGAGAGGTGGATCAAAGTCTATATACTGAACAGGGATAACCTAGCCTGTTTTCCCATTTGGCTCTGAGAACCTTAGCGGCCAGGCTTATATCCCCCAGGCAAGAGTTTGGGAGGGTCTTTTTCAGAGAGGTAGACTATCCCCCACCCCCCCCCCCAAAATCTGTGGAGGGTAAGACCCCCCAAAAATGGTATAGTCAGTTTACCCCACCCATGCATAAAACTTCTAATCATATTTTTAGTAAGCCATTCTTAAATATGAATAGACAGGCAGTTGTGTACAGATATTTGAGCAAAGCCTATGAAAGAGAGACTAAAACAAAAATGACCGAGGAAGAAACAGACGCAAGTCAGAAAGTTGGAAAGAATTTTTACAAATGTCAATGAAATTATTGGAGGAGATAAGCAAGGATTTTATATCCAAGAAAGAAGTAGAGGAGGCTAGGGAAAAAAAGCTTGTTTTTTTTCTTTTGAGAAAAAGTTTTGCTCTGTCACCAAGAACTTTCATTCAATATTAAAAAGAAATTTTTTTTTTTGGAGGTGGAGCCTCATTCTGTCACCCAGGCTGCACTGCAACCTCCACTTCCCAGGTTCAAGTGATTCTCCTGTCTCAGCCTCCCGAGTAGCTGTGATTACAAGCACCTGCCATCACATCCAACTATTTTTCTTTTTTTTAAAGTAGAGACAGGGCTTCAGTATGTTGGCCAGGCTGGTCTGGAGCTCCTGACCTCAAGTGATCTGCCCACATTGGCCTCCCAAAGTGCTGGGATCACAGGTGTGAGCCACTGTGCTCGGCCATCGCTCAGTATTATTTAAATCACCTGAAAAATCGGAAAGAGCCACTGAATTCATTAATAAGGTTAAATACATTATAATGCATTCATATAATGGAATACTATGCAGCCATTAAAAATAATGAAGCATTGACCAGGCATGGTGGCTCACGCCTGCAATACCAGCACTTTGGGAGGCTGAGGCAGGCAGATAGCCTGAGGTCAGGAGTTGGAGACCAGGCTGTCCAATATAGTGAAGCCCTGCCTCTATGAAAAATATAAAAATTAGCCAGGTGTGGTGGCACATGCCTGTAAACCCAGCTACTTGGGAGGCCGATGAAGGAGAATTGTTTGAACCCAGGAGGCGGAGGTTGTGGTGAGCCAAGATCGCACCATTGCACTCCAGCCTGGGCAACAAGAACAAAACTCCATCTCAAAAAAATAAATAAATAAAATCTATCTTTCTAGATTTTGTGATGTCTATGATATTTTTGTTAGCTTTTAAAAATGTGTAATTTGTTGTGATTTCTCATTGTAAATAAATGTTCATTTTCATACCTAATTTCGTATTTGCAATTTTCTATTTTACTTTTAAAAAGAGGACCCTCAAACTGTGTAAGTTTCAGGCCCCACAAGACCTGGATCCATTCCTGCCTGATACACAGCTGATATTCTCAAAGCTCTTTTCACTTTCACTTTGGAATTTCCAGTCTCCATATCTTTAGGATTCCC